AGGAAGCCATGAGCCATCAACAAACGGCTTGCCTTAGGAAATTTAAAATTCCAGCACAAAAACTAAGGCATTATTATAGTTAGTTAAAAAAGGGTTTAATTATCTTTTAAAAGATATTTGAGTGGTTAAGAGTTTAAATCTTTATATTAAAAATCTCAAGTTTAAATCCTAGAATGGATGAGGAGAAGTTTCGAAATATAAGATTGGTCTCTTGTTGTATAACTTATAAAAAAAAAAACTAATAATGTTACATGGGGTATAATTCGTTAAATGAAGTATAATCAGTTGTGTTATTTGTAAGGATTTTTCGTATTTTGTTGAGACATATATCTTAAACAACATAATTTGGTTAGTTTCTTATTATTCAATGGATAATCTTTGAACATAAATTCTTTATTTCATGGATCAAACTAAGCATTGTTTAAATAAGAATTCTTCAAATTCTTTTTTGGAGAAAAGATAACCAAAACATAACCTAAGCTTGTGTAATTGACATGAAGCAGGAAGAAGAATCCCATGTAGCCGTTATCCAAAAAAGGGTGTAGTCTAATGTCACACAAATGCCAATGTTAGCATGCTGCTTACCATATCAAAGCGAATACTATCTCTTTTTCTTTCTCTATCTCTCTACTCTGAATCCTTAACATCTCGGCCTTTTCCAGCCATGTGAGGCAACTCTCTTCATCGCTATGCTATTATACTTCATTTCACATACTTCTTGTCTGCTTTGGCTAACAATGACATGACCTAGAATTTTAAGCAAATATGCAAATTAGGTTTGAGTTTTACATTACTTAAATAAGAACAAGAAAAGATTTAAGGGTATTTCAAATGGTAAATCAAAAAGCTTGAGGGCATTATTTGACATTTATGATTTGAGAAATTTTAAAATTAGAACATTTTAATTTTTTAAATGTCAAGATTTTTCATTAAATTATTCAAAACCCATAAATCTCAATGGCTCTTGCTCGCTTATTAATTTATTAACAATATTTTAGTTTATTATTATTTTTGATATTTTAATTATTTAAAATATACTTCTCTTATTCAAATTTAATAGTTTTAGTTTAGTTTTTTTAATTTTTTAAATATATTTTTGTATATTTAAACCAGAGGAGGGGATGAACCCTCAAACTAAATAAAGAGTTAAATTTCTTAATGCCACGACCTCCCTCAAAAGGAATTGTAGTGGTTGACCATTTTATTCCATTTTCGTATATTACACTTCTCTATTTATATTATATATATTATATAGTAGGATTACTATATTTTTTATTCTTGTTACGTATACACGAGGGTCGAGTAGTAGGGATCCAATTATCTTACCTTGACTTAGTATAACTTGCATCATAATTTACTCTATTTTGTAACTTTAAAAAAAATAAATTATATAATAATAATAATGATGTATTTCTTTAATTACATCTTATGCATCTTGCTTAAAGAAACTATGTTAATATAAAAAAAATAAAAATAAAAATAAAAAAGAAGAAAGGAAGGAAGAGATTACCCTGATTTTTGAGTAAATATTAAGTTATGCCCTGTCCTTTATTTTTTTCACTTACTTAACATACCCTTAGCCTTTACATTGCTGTTTAAAATTACTCCACCATTAGGATGTTTTGTTAAACTTAATGGCTCCCTTATTTCGTCTTTGGTTAGCCTTGACCT